AAAATAGCCAAGCATTGTGGTGGGCACCTGTAGTCCCAGCTACTTGGGAGGCTGAGGCAAGAAGATCACTTACACCCAAGAGTTTGAGGTTACTGTGAGCTGTGACTTCATAGCACTCTACCAAGGGCAACAAAGTGAGACTCTCAAAAAAAAAGGTCAGCAATAGAATTTTCAGTGTTTTCATAGTCAGTAGTTTGAAGATACACTCTGAGAAATTTGAGCATGCAGGGAACTTCAATGGCAGTCATAATGGAGTGAGAGGTACCAACTGGGTGGCCTTAGCTCCCTCCTCTGCTGTTCCACCAGCTGCAGCCCAGAGAAGTTCGATTTTTCGATGACTTGTACATTAGACTCCTTTGTAAAACTTTATTTAAAAAAGATTCTTCTGCTTAAAAGGCGTTTTATTATGACTATTTATAAAGTGAGAGGATTAACCTAGTAAATGACTAGTTAGCCCTCCTACCCTGTGTAGAAATTCTTCTTACAACAGTCATCTTAGAAATTATGATTCCTCATATAATGTTTCTAGTCTCTTTTTACCAAAATACCAGAAAGAAAGAAATTGTGGTGCCTTAAACTGTATTTCTTTTTTTTTTGGCAGTTTTTGGCCAGGGCTGGTTTTGAACATATCACCTCTGGCATATAGGGTCAGCACCCTACTCCTTTGAACCACAGGCACTGCTCCGTTAAACTGTATTTCTGAAGCTGAAGTATATGTGACTCTCTTGTTTGTCAGTGGGTATGAAAATCTATGCAATAAGCTTGGCCTGTCTTCTAAAACAGAATTCTGGCTTAATGATTTGGTGGGGGAAAGGAAGTTTTCAATTTTTATACTTAATAAAGGTTTTCATAAACATGTGCAAAGAAACATAAGAATGCTGTACATCCCCATCTCTATCTCAGGTTATACATTTTTATTCTAACAATTAGGAATGTTTGGAACAGAGAACTGTTTTTAAAGAATGATAGTGCCAGCTCTGCACCTGTGACTCAAGTGGGTAAGGCCCCAGCTACATACACCTGAGCTACCGGGTTCGAATCCAGCCTGGGCCCGCCAAACAACAATGACAGCTGTAACCAAAAAATAGCTGGGTGTTGTGGCAAGCACCTGTAGTCCCAGCTACTTGGGAGGCAGAGGCAGGAGAATCGCTTGAGCCCAGGAGTTGAAGGTTGCTGTGAGCTGACACCACAGCACATTACCCAGGGCTACAGCTTGAGGCCCTGTCTCAAAAAGAAAAAAAAAGAATAATAGTGCCATAAAGGCATAATAGTATAGTATAGATACGTAGGTCCCTACAAAAGTTTTGAGACAGATTGTGTTATGGTCCATTATTTTACTTCCAAGAAACACAGTCACCTATGTCCTGTCTTTTTTTTTTTTTTTTTGAGACA